AATAATTGCCAATTTTACCTGCCTTCACTCCTTCAGCAAGCCCGACATGCTTTCAACACTCTGCGGTCAATCTGGAGATCAACAGACCTCTCACTTTACAACAAGATCTGGATCTTCAACACTAACATCAAGTTAGTCCTGCTTTATGGCTGATAAACCTGATGGGTAACCAAGACCAACACCCACAAGCTTCAGGAACATCCTCAATATCAGATAACCGGAAGTCATCTCCAATGACAGTGGGACAGGACTAGACAAGCCCCAATCGACATTGACATCAAGAAACGGAAATGGGGATAGATCGGCCAAACAATCCGCAAGCCTGCTTCTAGTGTCATTTTACAGGCCCTTGAGTAGAATCCAAAGGGAAGCAAAAAATAGACAATATACAATCTTTGTTTAACTACTTCTTTTCATAAGCCTCTCTTGTTTTAATTCTGGATAACCAAGCATATTCATCTGTGCTTTGAATATGGCTGCCACATCTGGTCTTTTTTATTCAAAAATTTAAAAATCTTTTTTCTTCAAAAATTTGGGAAAACCCAAGATTTACTGTTCCCAGTTTGCAGAATGTGTCCTCGCTTGGGACATAGTAAATGAATCCGGCCCACTTGAATCTGGCATCCTAAACATGGCTTCTCAAGAAACACAGAAGAATCTTCACATTATATATGTAAGACGATATCTTTTCATTCTCCTTTCACTCTGCTTGCTGTGTAGATATATTTTTGTCTGTGTGGGGCATGTGTATATATTTATATTTATAGTTTTGTGCATGTTTTAGTGGTATAAAAATCTCTCTGAGAACAAAGCATGTTTGTTTTTCCTTTTCCTTTCAGCTGTTCTGTCCATGAAATATGGTGTTATTATAACACAGATATAATAATGCCCATAATAGGGGGGAAATGTAAATAGGAGAATAAACCTTTTTTCCCTAGCTCTCTCTCATTACACTGTTGTTTTGTTGGGCATAAAGGTCCATGTTTGCCAAGGAAATAATTGACTGACTACTTTTTTTTTAAAAGACCTCATTGGGTGCAATTAAATAGAATAACACTGTTGTAAATTAAGTATATCTACTACAAATATGTTTTGAATAGGCTAGGATAGGAGACACTCTCTCTCCCACTGTCTGACTGTCTCTCTCTTTCCAATATGGAAAATAAAGTATAATATATATTTAAAAAATACACATTATAACCAAAAATATTTGCAGCTTCTCCCTTCTCTTTAAAATATACAATTTCCTCTCACTGGAACAACTATAACCTCTCATTCATATATATATATATATATATATATATATATATATAGTCAATGGCAAAATTATTTGTACACCCAACAGTTTTGAATATTTTCATTCATTTCTCAGAATCTAATGCCCGTATGATGTTAATTGAGTTTTATATTCCTTTTTTTTTTTTGTGCTTATTAACATATCAAAAATCTGGCACCATACAGGCATTAGATTCTGAGAAATGGATAAAATATTCAAATTTGATGAGTGTACAAATAATTTTGTCGTTGACTGTATATATACAGTGTACGATGTATAAATTGTCATCTAAATTATGCAAAAATTAAAATAACACTGACATCTCATTTTAATAGGTATTTATATTAACCAAAATTGCACAAAAATATCTTGAAATAATAAATTTAATTCAATAAATTTAAATAATAAATTTATTTCAATAAAATAGCCATTGGCTTCAACTACGGCTTCCAGATGACTATGGAATCTCCTGCAACTCTTCTGGACGGTCTCCTTGTTTAAGTTGATGAATGCTGCCATAATCCTTGCCCTCAGTTCATCTTTGGTCTTACAAGGAGTTTTGTTGGAAATTTTTAGATATTTGTTTCTTTGCCTTCTATAGAAAATTTTCAAAACTGTAAAAAGAAGTGATGTTTCATAAGTCGTATTTTTAAATAAAATCGTTTATTACCACCAATGTTAACCACCTGATGAGATGTCTAAATTAAACATCGAAACAAATATGCATTTTTTGTCGTGGTAACTTGCATGTTCCAATGTAACAGTTTATATATATATATATATATATATATATATATATATAATTATTTTTAAAAATATGATTCCATTGCTAACATAAGAGTCCTCATGTTTCAAAAACAGAAGCTAAAGACTTCAATTCTAAAAATTAAATTGAATTAAAGTATCAAGCTCTGTTTCATCTTCAAGCAAAATTTCTTTCCTATTTTTCTATATATTTGCACACACACACACACACACACACACACACACACACACACACACACACACACATATATATATATATATAAATTATAAATATGAAATTAAATTTTTACATCATGGGATGTTCTGTAGGTCCCCTGCAGATATACGGTATTATGGTATATGCAGGATTGAGTGGTGATGGATGAGTTCTATAGGCAAATTATAATGAATGAATGGGTCATGATTCTGATTAACTAGGACAAGGATAGCTAATGAAGACCAACTTCTCCCCATTTCCCCTTTGGCCTTGTGCCACAATTTTGTATTTTTACAAAATAAATATATATCTGTATGTGTGTGTGTGTGTGTGTGTGTTTGTTTGTGTGTGTGTGTCTGTAGGATGTATAATAGTAGCCAAAACAAAAAAAGTCATAGGGGGGGGGTTTGAATCTTTCATTCTTTCATACTGCTTTATACAATGCCACCTAGTGGAATTTAAGAACAGTCTCCTGGCAGAAAAGGTGAGGTAATCCTACAAGTTTTTGTTAATGTCACAATGCCACCTAGTGGAATTTAAGAACAGTCTCCTGGCAGAAAAGGTGAGGTAATCCTACAAGTTTTTGTTAATGTCACAATGCCACCTAGTGGAATTTAAGAACAGTCTCCTGGCAGAAAAGGTGAGGTAATCCTACAAGTTTTTGTTAATGTCACAATGCCACCTAGTGGAATTTAAGAACAGTCTCCTGGCAGAAAAGGTGAGGTAATCCTACAAGTTTTTGTTAATGTCAGACAAGATATACTTAAATAGTGAAGAAATAATTTTGATCAAATTTATGATCTGTCTGTGATTTTCATGGGTTACAAGCACTAGGAAGGTTGGGTTGTTAAACACTCATATACATTATTAAATGCAAAAATAAAGTTGTCACGGCCACTTTTGGCCGCTCCCTAAAGCAGAAGAGAACAGGGCACTTCGACCATGACCTTTTCGATCGTGTTCTCTACACACTGTGTAATTTAGTCTCATTTCATTTTAGAATTGAGTTAATTACTTTTTAGTTCATTTGTGTTATGAACCTAGTCATGATACACCTCTTGTGACCTCATCTTATGACATAGGTGTGTTCGGGTTGTGGTTTCATATCATGCCCCACTTCCAGGGGGGTTGCTACAAAGTATTATATACAAAATGAATAAATAAAGTATAAGTTAAAAAAATAAAATTTAGAAATGAATATAAAATGAAAATTAGAAAATAAAAATAAAATAAATGAAATATATATAAAAATACATGGGTCAATACAGATTGGTATGACTGGTTGATATTATTGGTATTGTCTTAAACTGGTGTGCTGATGTACAAAATAAATATGGTACCTTTATAAACAGAAGATATCTAAAAATTTGATGCAGTAGTTATTGGCACAGAACAGAAAACCAAAATATTGGAGGCTATTAATATCCACGTTGCACTAAAATTGAGAATGTAAGTTTTTCGCTGTTCTAATGTTAAATACCTTAACAAAAATGAAATAAAATTATGTATCAAGCTTGCTTCCAGTAGCATACAGAAGTGGGGACAAAGGGTGTGATGACCCCGAGCATCCATATCATGAGAGCATCCAATCAAAGTGTGAAATAAAAATTTAGTTTATATTTAATTTGAATAAAGTGTTTATTTCATGTTTCATCCATTTTTACATATTTAAAATGTATTCTTTTCACACATTTCTCAGTATTAGGCTCTATAGGACCTCTACTCGAGTCTTAAGGGCAAATAATCAAGGAGTTGGCCCCTGGAATCATTAAATCTCTGCATGTCACTGCCTGCAGCAGTGGTTGAAAAGTGTAGATTTGGGAAGACCTATTGAATAAGGCTGTTCTTCAGTGTATCTCATGAATTGGTGCTACAAAATCACAATCAAAGAACTTCACCAAACAACAGAAACCATGGCATTTTAAAACTTTCACTAGCATTAACAACTAAAATTAACAGTACATGTAACTTGAAGAGAAAATAATGATATAATCAACATGTTGACTTTCCACATTACCTTAAACAAAAAAGTTAGGAAGGAAACCCCCATCAATACTAGAAAGAGCGATAACAGATAATAGCCCTGAGAAACCTATTTTCCTGAAAAATTGTTTTAATAGAAAGATTTTTATAAATTTCTAGCAAAAGTAATGTTGTTTGGACAATGAAGGCTGAATGTTTCTTAATAAGAGAACAGCTAATGTTTGGACAGTAGCAGCAGTTCAGCTGTTTCTTCACTCATTATCAGGGTCCAGTAAAAAAAAAAAAAAAAAAAAAAAAAAATACAGATTCTAATTTTTCTTAAAGTCTACTCCTTTAGTTTTCCTTCTCTTAAAGTGGCTGTCAACCAAGTCTGGGGGTGAAGAGATACCAAAGATATTCTTTTTTAAGGACAATATAAAATGAAGTAAAAATTATTATTCAATTGCTACATATTTTTTTTTTATGATTTAAATTTCAAATAAATATTATTTTTGGGGAAAATTAACCTCAAACAATTAATTTTAAGCTCATGACAGTATATACCATATAAAATATTTTTCAAATTGTCAAAAAACAATTTTATATTTTTCAAAAATAATTTTCAAATTTAATTTCAATATGAAATTTAATTTTGATTATAAAAATATTACATAAATAAATTAAATATATTCAATATTTGATCGAGAGTAAAGCAGTCGGGAAAGGAAGCGGAAGCGCAAGAGTTATGCGCCCTTTATTACCCAGAGTGCCATAGTCTTTCTTTTTCCGCTGATATCCAAGATGGTGAGTAACGTGTATTTCGTTCCCTAACAAAAATCTTCTTTAATCCTTCAAATCTTCTGTCGAATTTTCTAAAGAATCTGTTTTACACAGCATATAATGATGCCATCGACATTTTCAATTCGTAGGGTATCGATATTTGCCATCGATTTGAGAGAAAGGTCAGGAGAACTGCGCCTAAAAGCAATGATATATACTTACGTCTCCTGGTAAAGGTAAGTAAACCGCATGCTTTATTTGTTTGACTTCTATTTTATTTCTTTTTGATTTATAATTACTTTGGGTATTGTATAACGTTAGATAAATTTTATATTGGAATACTTTGTTTTTGTTTGTTAATTATAAAATATCCGTGTTTCTGTAGGAAATTTTCGTTGACTGAAATCGTTCAAGTAATATGGCCACGAGGTTTCGTTGCAAGAACGAATTGGTTTTTTTCCCCCGAAAGTTTTTCTGTTTAATTTTCTTTTTCTAAAACTTGCTCCCTTATATATATATGAATAACTTGAATTGTTTTTTTTTTCTATCTTTTACTGTTTTGAATCTAGTATGAAAATATGTTACTGCCACATGGTGTTAAGCTAAATTACTTTTTTATGCGAATATTTAGACTTGTCGGCTTTATTAAAAACTTTATTTCTTCTCGGGATTCTTTTTTTCTTAAGAATTTTAAAAACCAGAAGGATGGTTATAAAGTGGGGGTGTACTTACACTAAATGTATAACGGCAAATTGTGCCCTGACTTTGTGTCCGTATTTATAGAAACGTGTACATAGTTTTTATGGAATCCCGAATCCGTAACATGGAATTTTTTTTTTCTCGTAAAGTTCGTATTTGCAGAGAAATTTTTTTTTTTTTCTAATTTATAGATGTTAAGGCCCTAACAAACGTTAAAAAAAAAATTGGTCAGTTTGACTAGAGCTTTCATTTTCATCATGCCTGTTTGATATACAGAAAGTAAAGTTTTCCATTGTAAATTTCAAACCGGTAAGTGAAAAATGAATAAATATACTATTAAAAAAAAAATACGATGAGTATCTTACTAATAACGTTCTAAAAAGTAATAACAAATAAATGCGTTAAATATTTTTATATATTTATAATTGCATTAAGAAACACTTTTTTTTTTTTTTTTATTTCATATCAAGATTTTTCAATTTTCTATTCAAAAAAATTATTCTGTAAAAGAATGCGATTTCATCAATGGCAAGGTATCCCCCCCCCGGTCACAAACAGAGAGAGAGACAATGGTGGAATTTCACAATAAGCATTACCAGCGAGATTTTTTTGTTTCTATATTAAGTATGCCAGAGGCATTTCGACGTGGTTTAATGGTTAGCAAGCTTGTCTCGCTAGCAATTACGCTCGAATAGGGAGGTCGATGCTTACTAGGTGCCCTATATTTATGAAAGTTAATAATACTGAAGAGAGGAGGCCTAGTTTACTATAAATTCAGTGTGAATTATTGATCCACCTACGGAAATCAAAACAAAATATGCTCATAACTTTAACCGGAGTTGTTAATTCGATAAAAGGGGAAAAGCCTGTCGGGTTATGAATTTTTTTTCTGAAATCACCATTTTGGTTTCAGTAGAGTGTGGGGGGGGGTTAATTTATTTGCGTAACAAGTGAATACCTCCAAGTATATATAAATTTTAATAAAACTTATCACTACTTTAGTAGAATGGTCAAAATAGGGAAATAATTTTTGTTGATTGGGATTTTTAGTCGAGAGACTTGACAAGTGCTAAAAATTTGGTTTTCTTATCGATTTAGAAGAAACATCTCGTTTTGCAATAATATCAATACACAATGAGAGCTGCAAGGTGCCAACCATTTTCTCACCATCTTTGTTTATTACTTGTTAATTTAACGCCTCTGAAACACTTCTTTTTTTTTTTTTTTTTTTTTTTTTTTTTTTTTAATCGTTTGAACCTTTCTTTGCCGTTCATCAGTATGGCTAATGCTAACCTACAGGAGAGTAACTCAGTGGTACTTCTAGTGCTAACGTTTTCCCCTGAAATAAAGTCCACAGATTGTTGCTAGGAGAGTTGGGTTCACTGTGTCAAGCTAAATAATTTTTCTCACCAGAATCTATTTTACACAAAAGCCTACCTCATTGTATTGAATATTGCTGCCACATTTAGTCTGCTACTTCTATTGTGTATTTATTTAGATATTGTTGAGCCAATCTAAAGAATCTTCAATGTTATTAATCCTGACATTGTACTTTGACATCAGTTACTTTTAAACTGCTTTAAAGTAGCTTCTCTGTGCCTTTTCTAGAAATATTTTCATGGTAATTACATTGGTGAGCTTTTCTCTTAGGTAACTCAACTTTGCATTTAAGAGCAGTACTACAGTGTCGTCCGAAAGTCGTGTCACCCCTTTTAGGAGCTTGTGCCAGTCATCTGAAATAGAAAATTATATTATGTTTGGGTGACAAGACTTTTGGACCATCCTGTAGATTGACAGCTAGTTCTCACTTTACAATTGAAATGTCTATATGCAACCATTATAAGTTCTTTGCTAACCTTCTTGTATCACTTCTCACTTGTGAAACTCCTTTCTGGCTCCCTGCTTTCCAGTCAACTTTGAACTTAAAAAATTTAAATGCAATGTCAGTTATCTTCTGTCTTAATTCCTTTTTTATTGTTTACTCTATCCTCAATATTTTCTTGTTCTCATATTGTTCCACACTCAGTAATCCCTTGTCTTAGTGGGTTTATTGCTTAAATCTTTAGCAGTGATCCACTTGACTGATGAGGGTAAGATCATCGCAAGGCCATTTATAATAGGCAGTGACTGTTAAGAATAGTATAGATAACATTTAGTTTTGATTAACTTCATAAAGCTGTTCTTTGCATCTTCCAGAACTATTGTGAACTAATTGCAGTCAGTACTCTCACTGTGGTAAGAGTTCTGATAATGTTTCTTATGATAGAAGCTGGTTATGATGATTGATGGCAGCAACATATTGAGGCAAGGACCAAGGCTGGACAATCAGTCTTTGCTGATAATGTCAGATAGAATCCATTTGAAAATGAGGGACTCTTGAAGAATGCTGAAAGAGGAGCTCTCACAATGTAAGATTTAAAGCAATCAACCTTTGGGTATCTAAACAGAATCACTGCTTATCTAGGCACCTCCACTTTTTTTGTCAGAAATTTTCGATACCTAAGGTTTAAAATTAAATTTTAAAAATGAAATCTTTCTTGAAGATTTTATTTTAGCTTTAATTGAAAGTTTAATAATTAAATTTATTCCCATCGAGTAAAATATTTTGGAGTATTTCAGATAAAAATTATATAGATTGGAATGTCAAATTTAATTTTGATTTCTTAAAATTTTCTTAATTTTAAGAAACAAAACTTTTTCGATTTAAAAAAAAATTAATTCAAAAAAATTTCTGACACATTATTTTAGTACAATTAGAAAATTTATAGGTTAAATTAATCTGATTTGAAATAAATATTACTTATTACAAAAAAATAATATACAACCAATTAACAATTTGTCCTGTTCATCTGATCCAACGTTTGATGGACTGGTGATAGACGAAGCGATGACAGCTACTATGGATGACCCAATTGTCAAAATTCTAAGTGAATGCATATTTTGGGTTTTTAACTACCTATTAATTTTTACAAATGGACATATTTTCTGCAATTATTTAATATTTTATTGACTTTTCTTACCTTTTTGAAGATGCAAAATAAAAAAAAAATTTAAAATACTATAAAATTTTCTTCAATTAATTTTATAATTTAACAAATGAAATACCATGATTACTCAATTGAAGTATGTCCCACACTAATGTAAATACATAAAATAAAAAATATTTAGTGAAATTGTAATTGAGAAAAGTAAAACTTAGTTTAAGCTAACATATTTTAAAAATATTTTTTACCAAAATTTCAAAAATAATTTCATTTGTGAATAAGTCCTGAAAATTTAATCAAAATTGGACAATTACTTGATTCTTACAAGAATTTCCAAATCAATGAGTTTTCAACAGAAAAAAAGCGCAAAAAAATGTTATTTTCGTGTCACAGCAATGACCTAAACAAAAGACTTTAACCAAAATTCAAAATGTGTTAGAAAGGATTTTAAAAAATTCAAAAAATAATTAAAAAATACTTTGGTCTTTCATCTTAACGTAAACTTCATTTTCGTTTGTGGCCTTTTTCATTACTCTGTTTTCCCGCAAAAAAAAACAAAAAACGGAAGTACCTACTATTATAGTCTCTTATGATGATGATTTTAATTCCTTGACTTTTCTGATGACATCAGGATCAATCAGCTGATGGAGACTGTACCAGAAATTTTAAATAGATTGTAGCTCATCTATACCAATATTTTATATATTTAGATGCAGTAGTAGAGAAGTGTTTATTAAGCCAATCTGGTTCAATCAATATTTCATTACATTTTTTTTTTTCCTCTCTCTCTCTCTCTCTCTCTTTTCCTGCCTTCCCATTCACTAGCTGTTTGGATTGTTTTATATATATATATATATATATATATATATATATATAAAAAATCAAGAGAGCACAAAAATACCTTATGGCTGCACACACACTCAGTTTTGGCTTTTAGGTGGTGGGCAATGTGTTTGCAATACCATATTACAATTATACAGCTGTATGTAGCACATCTTTTTTCAAACATGCTCAGTGTCATATATATATATATATATATATATAATTCTCTGCTGTTTTTTATTAGTGAAAAAGTTGGAGGTGCCTAGATAAAACTCTATGCCAGAAAGAATCTTTGAAAATGAGGGAGGCTTTACTTTTTGAAGAATGAGAAATAGGAGCTCCCACAATGTACGATTTGGAACAATCCTCTTTTGCGTACCTAAGCAGGATCACTGTCTCTTATGATGATGATTTTAGTTCCTCGACTTTTCTGATGACATCAGGATCAATCAGCTGATGGAGACACTACCAGAAATTTTAGATTCTAGTGCACTTATATAGATATTTTATAACTACATATATTTATATGCAGATGATTGTGTGATGACCTCGTAGTAGAGAAGTCTTGATTAATCTGCTACTACACTGTTTTCAGTGATAGTCTGGCTATGATGATCAGCAACCTGTTGATGCAAGGACCGGGGCTGGCTACTCTGTCTTTTCTGATACTTTTTGGTGTGGGATAAAATTCTCTGTGCCAGAAAAATTCCATTTGAAAATGAGAGAGCTTCTGCATTATATGATTTGAAGCAGTCATTTTCCGGGTATCTAAACAGAATTACTGTTTACAAGTAGAATTATAATAGCATAGTCTCCTATGATGATGATTTTAATTCCTAGACAATTCTGATGACATCAGGATCAATCAGCTGATGGAGACTCCACCGGAAATTTTACATATTAACTCACCTATGCCAGCATTGTGTGTGTGTGTGTGTGTGTGTATATATAATATATATATATATATATATATATATATATATAATAAACACTAATATTTCATGGTCATAATTTATTCCATTGGAATCAATGAATACAATCCAATGGAATAAATTATGACCATGGAATATTAGTGTTTGAGCCTTTTTATTATATCCTTACTCTGTCCTGGACATTGAGTTCTACCTGGATTCTATCCTCTTGGATTTTTTATTCAAAAAATATACAGGTATGTGTATTCACCTATGTATATATATTTTGCATATGTATGTGTATATTTACCATATATATATATATATATATATATATATATATATATATATATATATATATATATGAAAATAATAAATGTTATAAAATCACTACAAAAAATAGCCATTTTGTTCCAACACTTGGTGTCTTACCAAGTGAGGGGGGGGGCAAATTCACTAAAGAGGTCTGGATAAAAAAATGTCCAAGGTTTAATTTAAAAAAAGAAAAATTAATCTTTAAAGGGGGATTCAAAGCATGTAAAAGTTATGCTTCAGATTTTTTTTTTTTTATAATGGTTGCTTCCACTTTAATTGGGGTGGGACATTATCTCATTTAAGTGTACAGAATTTAAATCCACTTTTCTTTGTCAAAGATGATCTGCAGTTACAGAAAATCTACAATGAAGCTTTTTTTTTTTTTGTTTACAAACTTGTATATTTGTAGTGGCCGATTGATATTAAATTAAAACTACTTGGTGGATAGTGGAAAAGCCGCCTACAATTCAACTATCACATATTTTAAAATTTCAAATTTTTTTGTATATAAATGTTTATTTTTGTCAATGCAGATGTCCATACACATTCAGAAAATCTATTTGTTGCTATTTTGAAATTTATTACTGATTTTCTAACCTTTCCTCAGCAGACTTTTTAAGTGAGGCTAAAATTCAATAAAAATCTTAGAATGCTTAAAATATCTCAAATTTTCAAGAATACTAGTTTTTTTTTTTTTTTTTTTTTCTACAATTATGTCCTGCTTAAATTTTCCAAAATGTTAAGCGAGCAATAAAATAAATCACTCTTGTCAAAAACACCATCTCCTGCAGTATTTTAAATTAAAATTAATATTTCAATTCAGGTTAATTAAACTTAATTTTGGCTAATTTTTCAGAACAGTATTTTACTTTGATGAGGTGTCTGGACAAATCTATAGATTTTACTGATAAACAGGCAGAGAGTCCTTCCTAGGTAGATCCAGAATGTCCCTTGATAAATATAATTAAAGAAAAGAAGCTCCTGTAGATAGGATAAAATAAAAATGGTTGATAAATTCCTGTAGGGATCATAAATTATGGGACCTGAAGAAATTGGGATGATACTGATCATTGCAAAAAAAAAAAAAAGTGTTCATCCTCACATGAAAATCTTAAAAAAAATAATTTTTCTAACCCAAATGTTTTTAATTTCAGCTTTACCGCTTCTTAGCCAGAAGAACCAACTCCAAATTTAACAAAGTGGTGCTGAAGCGCCTCTTTATGAGCAGAACCAACAGGCCCCCCATCCCATTGTCCAGAGTTACCAGACATATGAAGAAATATGGTAGAGAAGGCAAGATTGCAGTTGTTGTGGGGACAGTAACTGATGATATCAGAATGTTTGATGTGCCCAAAATGAAGGTAAGACTCACTCTCTATTGTAAGAGTAAACATAGATCTGATGTTGGTACTCGGGGGTTTTAAAGGGCGGGGGGACTTTAAATTTGTCAATTACTGTTTGCTAAAAAGGAGATTCTCGTCTCTATGTAAAAATTAAAAAATCTTAAGAATTATTCTCTTTTAATTGTTGAAGCGTAATTTAACTTAAAATTGGTGTTAGCACTTTTCCTTTAAAAATTATCTAAATTCCCCAACCACATAATTTTGAATGTCTGGCTTTTAACTGCTGTGATGAAACCCAACTTCCGTGGCTCTGACTTGTACTGAATGCAAATTGCCAATCCACTGAGCAGTTCTTAAAGACAAAACTCTCTCTTCACCCCAATTTCATTTCTTGATAGAAAAAAACACCAATCTTTTTTTCACAGTGGTAAATTGCTTAAATAAAATATAAAAAAAATTAGCAAATTAATTTAAAGTAGGCTGAACACAACAAATATAAATGTATCAGTGCTAAAAATAATATAATGCATCAGAAGCCTTAAGGGTACCCTTCTGACATGTGAAGATTTTAACCTTTATTACACTGGGGGCAAAAATTGTTGCTGTGGGATTCTCTCCCTTTACAGCTGTAGGTGCATTCTGTTGTCTTGAGAGTTGCTATAAATAAATGCTTGTCAATTGTTATTTCCAGTATTTTAAGCTGGGAATCACCTACTACTGCTTTGGAACAAGGTTAAACTTCCATTTCCCAACACCATTTTGAATTCTTCCAGGCTCTACACTGTAACATCAATTGAATGTGTGTTGTTTTTTTTTGTGTAAACAAAAATGGCTGCATCAACATGCAACAAAACCTTTATTCAGGAGTTTTTGTTTGATTTGGACTCTGATGATGATTTTGAAAGCTCTTTTTCAAGTGAATTTCGGTGATGAAGTGGTTGAAGGTAACTAGTGACTACCAACCTTTGGTATCTGTTGGCAAATTCTACAAGAAAAATTTCCGTTTTAAACTGGTCTTTCAGCTTCCTATTTTCATAGCAAATAGGGGCCCCCTCCTGTTATTATTGTTGGCAATGGGCTTCCCTAGAATCGGGGTTGGGGTTAATAAATGTTTGTCTGTCAAAACAAGGAGCCCCTCCAACACACACACACACACAGGTTGACTGCAATGATGAAAACTCAACTTCCGTGGCTCTGACAAATTCTTTGATTGCAATTAGCCAATCCACTGAGCAGTCTGCTTTTAATTTTGTTGTTTGTTTTCTAAGATATTAGACTTGTTAGTGAGCTTTAAAATGGCCAACACTTTTTTTTTTTTCTTTGCATTTTATGTGCCCCAAGAAAAGCATAATCTTTGTGGGTAATAATTACGGAGAGTGAGGAGGTATTAATAAAGGAGGAGGGGTCAAGTATGCAAAGTGGAATATTTGAAGGAGAAAAATACAAATTTATTCTTCCTCTTAATCTAGAACGTACTTGGTTATGCTCCTCCACAGGTTCATTGTTTCTGAATTTCAATGACTTTTTACAAAAGTTGGGCTGGTTTTCTCTATCATTTGGAATTTGCTACTAGACTGATAGTACCCTGCGAGTCCCCTCTACCCTGATATTTAACCCACAGCTGGGGATAGAGGAGATGAATGCATGCTTTTCCTGATGACATTTGTGAAATACTGGGCTCTTATACACTCTTGATACAGTTTAAACCAATTTAAGAGCATATTGAATCCCTGTTGTGTAGTACAGTGCCAAATTTCCTTAAAATTAGAGAAATGCTTCTTGAGCTGGGGTTGTTTTTAGGGCCCCCTTTTTTTAATAGGGAATTCAGTATTTGTTTTAGAGACACATTGTTTAACATTTACATATTTTCCATTATGTGTGTGAAAATAATAAACCTTCATTATAATGAGATTCTTGGATGTTTGGCATGGACTTGATAGGTGAAAAGGCTATGTGGGTGTGGCATTAATATTGTCATGTGACATGATGCTAAATAGCAACAGTCTGGCTTCCTGCAGTTAATACATTTTGAAATGTAAGGAAGTGACATGAATATGATTAGTGGGGGGCATCTATTTTTTAAATAATTTTTTCTCTAAACAGACAATTGGCTTATATTATATATATATATATATATATATATATATATATATATTATTGTTAACGAAAAAAAAAAAAATTAACATCTGGGGAACAATGAAATCGGTATAAAATGACACACTGTGGGCTACAATTATTTGGGTGAAAAGAGCATTAGTGTGCTATTGATATTGCAATCCCATAGCGAGTAGTGACTTTTCCTTTGCTTGATCTAATTAATACTGTATGAGTAGTAGTAATAATTATTAAAATAGCTTTTATTGCAAAAACAAATTAATGTGTAATTAATAATAAAATTGGTTATTTTGTGCCCTGATGCAACAAGTTTAATTTTATGATTTCCATTTCAAACTTCTTCCCGTGTGTGTAACGAGATAGAAATAGACTCTCCCATCAAGTCCGATGACTACAAACTAATTATCTGCCTGCCTGTGATGCACATGACTTTTGAGACTGACCCATGAATTGCACAAAAGACTACAAACAGTACAGGAGAATGTATTGTATCCAAGTGCAGCTGTATCAATGTTGTACTTCTTTAGCTGTCTTTTCTTTCTGGTGCTGAGTTGTTGTCCTGGAGAGTTTGTACATTCCAAGTGCCAAGATGAAATTGATGTTTTGTGAGGTTTTCCCCAGTAGCCGGATATGTGTGTAACTAATTAGATGTTGTTGTTGTCAGAGAACCAACACAAGAATTTGTTTCAAGTGATGAAGGCTTGTGTTGCACCAGCCACACTTTTTGGGCCTGTTGATTTTTTTTTTTTTTTTTTTAAGTAGTGGTGCAAAAGACTTGCTATGGAAACTCTGAACAGCTGCCCTTGCGTTATTTAACCTCTCCTGGTCACAGTCAATCAGCATTTTTTCCTTCATACATGTTTCATTAGATAATATAAAAAAAAGTGTTGTCTATTTTATGTAAATTCTTTTCATATCATCTGATAAACTTAATAACATTATCATTAAACAAAGAAAATCACCATATTGATATATTTTTTTTAATCCTATCTAAGCTTTTGGCTTACATAAGCCATTATCAAAGATGACAATTACATTACAATATATTAAGCAATACACAGACAAGAAAGTGATGATAGTATGTTTTTGTTTGCATGGAAAATTTCTAATCCTCAACAAACTCGTGCATATAAGACACTAGAAGTGAAAATCGCATTGCAGCTCATGACGTCACACATGACCACGCAGATGTGAAAACAAGAATTAAGTATGGGAAGCCGTTTGTATAAACCAATGGCTTCTGTTACCAATTATAAGCATTTAAGAATATTTGGAGATTTCATAGTTTATTTTGTTCAGATTAGGTTTCAACTTTTATTTATATAGCTTCATGAATTTTTAGTTTTTGTTTATTGTTTTCATGTTTAAGTATAGCTGTGTTTTCAACAAGGATTTTCCGGAATTGTGTATGTGGCCAGGCATCTTGTTTTAAATGCCTAAAAATGTTAGTTTTCATTCGAATGTAGTGTCAAGCATTGTGAAAGTGAGTTTGTGTTGTAACCAACATAAATATTATTTAATTCATTGGAGATACATGTGTATGTATATAATTTTCTAATTTGATAAAGACTGGGAGAATTTGCATTGGTCTTGAAAGGTTCTCTTTTTCTTTGTCAGGGTTTGGGACATTTAGCCACTACTTCATGAGTCTTGTCTCATCCATTAGCAGAACCTGTGTCTTTACTTGTGCTTTTCTGTTTTAGATCTGCGCTTTACGCATGACAGAGAGAGCTCGTGCCAGAGTACTGAAGAGTGGAGGCGAGATTCTCTCTTTTGACCAACTGGCTCTCAAGGCCCCCAAAGGAGACAACACCATCCTTATGCAAGGTAACTAGCAACATGTGATGAGGGGAGGGGATCAGTTTAATGGTCATGTGTAGAAGGGGGAAGTTATAGAAGTGGGTCAAATGGCTTCATGTTCTTTCTTAAATTGACCCCCCCCTTTCTCACCATGGAATTTTGCTATAGGAAATAAGGACAGTTCAATGTAACTAAAATTCTTTTTCCTACCCTCCATCTGGCTGCAATGATGAAAACTCAACTTCCGTGGCTCTGACTAATTCCTTGATTGCAATTAGCCAATCCACTGAGCAGTCTTTTTTTTCCTTTTTGGTGGGTGGGGGTACCTTAATAATTGGCATTAAAACAGTAAGGGGGGGGCATCAATTTAATAATCCTGTTTATAGGGTGGAGGTTGGGTGGTGTACATAGTCAAATGGCTTTATGTACTTTTTGCTTAAACTTACCTGTTTTAAACAAGTTTCTTCCTTAATTCAGTTTATTTCGCTCATTTCATTCTCTCTACTTAAACTCCGTTTACTTGTCAGCACCCCCGCCTCTATTTTTCTTACCCTCTTCACATGCATGAACCTTAATTGTTATGATGGAACTTAGATACTGCCATATGAAATTTTCTTCATTAGATATTAACCCATCTTCTGGGCAGTTGGCTGTCAATGTTTGACACTGTTTATCTGCAAGACAGCATAAAAAAAAACCCTGTTACTCTAATTTATTCCAGTTGGGAATATGTCTTTTTGTTGCTGACAGGTCATATCTTGAAATAACAATTTGTCTAGCCTTGAAACCCATGTCATCCGAAAATTTGTATCTGGCCTAAAGAACGCTTGATAAAACATTTTTGTATATATTTTATATGCAGAATTTGATAAACAACTGTTAAATTTGTAAAGATTGCAGAGCCATTCCAACACCTAGTGTAACCTTGTTTAATGATTGAATATCAGTGGGTAGGCTGTGTACTAAATAATGTTAGCAGGATATGAATTTCTATTGAATGATAGAATTGTAACACATTTTGTGATGTTGTTGTATTTCATAGCTTTTGATTTTCTGTTTATTATTTTGTATTCTTTTATTACAGGTCGTCGTAAGGCTCGTAAAGTGTACAGACACTTTGGCCCAGCTACTGGTGTACCCCACAGTCATACCAAGTAAGTAATCAACCTTTGAAAAAATTTCATGACACTACCTCTACTCTTTCTTTTGACTTGGGATTTTTGTACTACTTGGGACTATTTTAGTGAAACTACCAATTGTTTGTAATAGATTGGACAGGAGAATGCAACCAATCTGTCATTGGGGGGGGGTCAAACCCTGCAACTGGTGTACCTGGAATGACACTTTAGATAAATGATACCTTTCTGGTGGGGGTGGGGTCGTACCAAGTAAGATACTACCTGGGTATTATTAAATAGTGGTACCAAATGGTGTTTCGATAGTTTTGACTAAATACCTGTGTACCAATTACTTAGTATCCCCTGAAATTTTATTTTCTGGAGAAACCTTTTGAATCAATGGAGTCATTTTGAAAGTACCTAGTATAATGCCAAAGTAATGCATCATCTTCACTTTATGGAATTACATTTCCTTTCAATTTCATTTTCGCCCTTCATTAAAACTTATACCATTTTGATTGCAGAATTTTAATTGGTGTCGTCAAAGTGCTAAACCTTGTGGCATCTTTGGGCTCTGTGCAAAACCTACTTGCCTGGTGACCTCTCTATATATATCTATATATATATATATATATAGAATAATGCAAATCTGAAATGTTTGATTGGTATTTACTATGTAGAGTATAAATGTTATCTGGTAATAATTCAAGATTTATGTCACCCTCTTCCAACTAATGAGCAGTGTGATCCTGAAAAATTTTAAATCGTTATCCACATTATTTGGGCTATTGTCCTCATCTTTGTCGCCATATTTATTACAACATTTCAGCTGTTGTATTTTGAATTTGAAAATGTATTTTGATATGCATTATTAATTTGCTATTGCTTACTTTTGAATTTGAAAATGTTGCTGGCTGTTATGATGAAAACCCAACTTCCGTGGCTCTGACTTTCACTGAATGCAATTTGCCAATCTGCTGAGCAGTCCTAAACATTTTTCATTTTCTCCAAAATGTTTATTACAATGTTTCAGCTGTTGTATTCTTTGGCCTTCTTCAGGCGTTAGGGTTAATTGTCTAATTTAGGTGTTGAACTGAACCCTTTATTTTGCTCACTGGAGTAGACTGTTCTAGTTCCACATGCCATGTTTAATGGATGTCAGTTATGTTCTGTTAATTCCCCTCTCCAAGTTCTCCACTGCCTTAACTGGGTATTGAACTCACACCCTTTTGGCTCTGTTACTCTATCTAATGCATGCCTTTATCCACTGTGCCATGTATCCTTAAGGACATCTGTGTATGAATTTCTGGGTATTAACGTAATAAATATGGCGAAAAAGATTAGGACAATAGTCTGAATAATGTGGATAATGTACATAATGCCTCGTCCCAGAAATATAGACAATTTTAAATCAGTTTAGCACTTTCTTGAAAGGTTTTGCTCAACCCGGGGACAACGTTATATTTCTGTAAAGTTAGTGTATTTTGGTGTCAATATTGCTTACTTTTGAATTTGAAAATGTTGGCTGCTATGATGAAAACCCAACTTCCGTGGCTCTGACTTTCACTGAATGCAATTTGCCAATCCGCTGAGCAGTCCTAAACTTTTTTCATTTCGTCCAAAACGTTTTCTTGTTTGGAATTTGTCTAACACAAATATTTTTGCTTCTCTTTGCAGACCCTACGTCAGAGCTAAAGGACGTAAATTTGAGAGAGCCAGAGGCCGCAGAAAGAGCAGAGGTTTCAAGAATTAAATCATTTTATTTTTGCCTCCTTGATGAAAAAAATGGGATTTTATCCTGTTTTCTTTGCGGACATTTTGGACTGGCAATAAATGCCATCAGAACACAATCTCTTTGTTTTTGTTTTTCTTTTTGTTTGTTCATTTTTGAAAAGGATTCGTTCAAAAAAAAAATGTTGGTTGGGAACAACCAGTGAATTTGAAAAATGGCTGGGAGAGGTTTTGTCTTCAGTTCTTGAAGCAATTACAAAAAGATGCACTTCCCCTCCTCCAAACTGGTTGTTCAGGTAAGAAAATGGCTTCTTTTTTTTCTTTTTTTCTTTTTTTTTTCCTAACACCCATTGGAGTAACATCAGCAGTAAAGTTTAAAATGCAAACTTAGTGAAGCTACAGAAATTGAAGAGGACTAAGGGCAGCACCCAAATGGCATACAACAGATTTCTACTTGACCTGGATGTGAAGGTGAATTGTGGGGACAGTTGAAAATGGATACAGCAAACAAGATGAGAATGGATGCATTGAGAAGCTTTAGTAACACCAATTGAGATAATGGGGTGGGGAGTGATGAGGGAAGTTCTTGACATAATGGGAACAATGCAAATGTGCAGCACACAATATGATTTTTGAGAAAAAGGCAAACTAATGAGGATTATTTCTAGCAAGATATTTGTTCTTTTCATCCAGTTGTGTTAACAAGATGGGAAGAAAACAGAAATATATTGTTAGAAACAAAGAAAGCATGTTGAACTGCTATTTAGTATCCAGTGAATAATGGTTTGTCCCACAGGAAACCTTGAAGCAATAGAAGGGTGCTGAAAATACCCCAGAACGAACATATGAGCAGTGATGTAGCTGTAGAAACAATGGCAAATTTTCAATATCAAAGAGGGACAGTTAGAATTTCTAGGTCACATAATGAGGACAGAGGACTTGGAAAATTTGAAAGCCACAGGACAAATTAAAGGTAAGAGAAAAGTAACTCATAACCTACCTGAGAAGCTTGATTGAATGGAGGGTGGGGCAGGGTTTGGAAGAGATGATCAAAAGACAAGCTACAATTGACAGGAAATTGAGTTGTGATAGCCAACATCCTGAGATGCAGCATATTGAAGAAAAATGTACGAAAACCTTATGGTTTGAATCGGAAACTATGGTCTAATTTGGCTTCCAGTTTCTTTGTTAATAGTACAAATTGAGCTTTCATAAAACAAGGGCTACTGTGTAGTTTTGTCATTTTAGTTTTCAAAGTACTTGAACCTGATTTGAAAAGTCTTGAACATGTTCCAAGTTAGTCCACTTAATGTAGTTACAGGTTGCTGATGAAAAAGGACATTATACCATTGTCTCTTTATTAGGAAGTTGTAGACTTAACTCCAATGATTGCAAAAAAATTCTTCATACATCTAAAGATCTAGCGTTATATTTAAAAAAAAAAAAATGCAAATGGATTACACATGATTGGCCTGGCAAAAAGCCTTCTGATTTGAAACCATATACAAGCAGAAAAGATTTGGATCATGAGAAATCACCCACACAAATTGATGCCCTAAAAATTACATGAACAATATCAGTATTTTCTTAACGTCCCACATAACAAAATAACATCTAGTGGTGACATGGTCTGAATTTGGATATCATATCCTGTGTGAGGAATTATTGCCTGACAGGATTATTTTTATTTATTTTTTTTCCCTCCTCCAAATGACTCTGGTTAATACATTTCACTTGTGGGAAGAGTCAACAGCTATGGTTTTGGATACACAGGAGCCATGCAGGCCCATTTGATGGCAAACAAAATTAAATGCAGATACCCATAGTAAATACTTAGCTTATTGAATTATCACCATCTTTGTGCATGTGATAAATGTTGCATCATACATTTACTCTACATGGAATTGCACGTGCAGCTGTTTGATAATGCTAGCAGTTTCACTTGTAAAGAAAGAATTAAATATGTTTGATGTTTGCCATATCGTTCATTTATCAAATGGACCTGCTGAATGCACAATCAAACCATTGAGAAACTTAAAACAAATTTCAGTTGAACTTGTTTTAGCCCACTATTGCCAAATTCCACAAATGGGGCAATGTTAATGGATGAATTGCCTGGATCTTGTGCAGGAGTCTGCAACCTTTTGATGACTGATGACTTAGGATTTTAAAATCATTACGTCTGCCAACAGCATACATTTTTTTTTTTTTTTTTTTGTACGAGTCAAGGTCAATATACCTGTTGTACACTATATTTTATATAGTAATATTTAGTTAGTATATATTAAAATTGAAACAGCTAAATATCTTTGCGTTGTAGTCATTGGTTCGAACTTCGCGATGTCATTTGCAGCTGTGTGCCATTGGAAATTGCTTGGTGTACCACATTTGGCATGCATGTTGTAAGGTTGCTGACCTCTGATCTAGTGTACTCTGATTTATCAGCTCTTGTCACCAGCCGAGTGGATAATGCAAAAATGTCGATAAATATATATCGCCATGAATAAATTTTCAGTGAAAATTCAAATGAATTTCTGGAAGTAGAGTTCCCCCCCCCCCAACTTTTCATTATTACAGAAATTCATTTGAATTTTCATTGAAAATGTAATGTCGACTGGCATATTCACACGGACATGATCTAAAGGGTGGGAGAGACGTGTAGATCATATCTGTGTGAATATGCCAGTCGACATCTCACTCAGCTTGACAGTTCAAATCTCTCCTTAGAGTCAAGTGATCTCAAATTTGTAGAAAATATAAATACTGAAATACAACTATATTTTTTTTTTTTTTTTTTTTTTTTCCCCCTTTAGCATGAAGCTTATAACCATGACAAGGTTCATGTTAGTCCAAAAAGGAAGCATGTTTTGTTCTCACCCTCACTGTACCAACTACGCCTATTTTTGCTAGGGCTCTACACAGTGACTGTCCTGCAACCAACTTCTACCGGATCATAATATATTCTCCATGACTTGCAACAGCATTGTTCGACAAGTTCTTGGTATTTGGGCTCCTCTCATTAGCCCGTGTAATAAACTCCTCCCACGACACTGACAGTTCCCAAATGATACACTGCTTCGTGTTGTCGGAGTGCAATTATCAGATCTGGTCTGGGTGATGTTACGGCTATGTGTCTGGGGAACTTCAGTTAGGTCTTTAAGTCCATTATCAACTGCCAATCATCTGCGGAAGATAACAGACTTGTTCTCTCTCTCTCTCTTTTCTGTTTCTGTATCTTTCCTCCAGATTTAATGAAGTTAAACTGATTCAGCTTCTTTGCTGATTGATGCTTATTACCTCTTATAACTTTAGTCAACTCATTTGCAATCACTTTACGGTCGTGGCGCCAATGGTACCGACAATCACCCAAAGCTTTTGGGTAACTACTCGGGATGTAATGATCCTTTCCTTGAACATAGTTGGCATTTGGGGGTATCACTCTTCCCCCTTATATGCAGGTTAGTTGGGCTCGGTAGAACATCATATACTGATTTGATCAGAAATCTAAGGTTTCATATTAGTCCAAAAAGGAAGCATGTTTTGTTCAGAACTTTCTTCTGAAATTTTACATCTTTGATCGCAACTTCTTGGTGAACAAAAAAAGTTTTTTTTTTTTTTTTTTTGTTTTTTTTTCCTCTAATTTTAAGGCTTGAATTTGTGAAACATCTACAGGCTAGGCTAGAATTAATTATAATAAAACAAAGCAATTCATTCTTTGTCCTTGGCAAGATCATAATCCACACTTCTCTACTGCATTTGATTTTTGGTTCCCTTGGCAAGACACATACTCTACACTGTAGTATTAGTCTCACGAAGGCAACAGTTTTGAATTTGGACCAGTCTTTCACCTAGAGTGCCCATTCAGCTCTGCTATTTAAAACCTATAGCTGGAAATGGGTGGATTTAAATCTTTCTCAAGAGTATTTGTGCAGAAGTGATTATAAGAAACTGCTTGCTGATTCCTCATTCAAATTTGGTGTTTGTAACTTTTTTTTGTCTTGGGTCTATCCCCCTTTTGTTAAAATAATGGCACACAGTTCCAGCAAAAATTGAAGACTGATTTCATGATATAGCAAATGTCCAAAAAGAATTGGAAGAAATTTATTCAATGGGGTTTTTTTTTTTTTTTTTTTTTTTTTTGACAAGATGCATTAATTCAAAATTAAGATAAAATGGGTGACATTCTGAATTGGCATCCCTTATGAATTATGACAATAGTTTAAAACCGTTTTGTATGTTATTGTTTCAGCCAATTCAGTTAGCTTTGCACTGGAAGCTCCATGGGACTAGCCTTGTTTGGGGAATTGCATCTGGTGTGATGTCTATAGACAAGAACCCCCTGTTAACAGAATTTTAGAAATACCAAAATGGGGTATAACCCAAAATCGGTTGAGAACCACTGTATATTCTAACCGTTCCTTGAATTGGTTAAGCATCTTACTTCACATCTCTTCACATAAACAATATGGCATTCCGTTTCCCTAGGTCTATCATCAATGTGTTAACAGCCATCACTAAATTTGTCAAGCTTTAGATAAGTATGGGGAATCTGTGACCCTAGATATCTCCAATGTTTTCAATAGGGTTTGGCCTTCTACGCAAACTCAAGGGCTATGGTGTCTGTGGATGAATATTTGTCCTAATCTTATTGTTCTTAACAAATCATCCAATGAAGATTGTGTTGAATGGACATGTTTCTAGTTCACTTCGTTTTAACGCTGGGGGTTCTCCTGTGACTCTATCCTCAGACCTATGCTGTATCTGATCTTCAATGACCTTCCGAATGTCATCAGTTCCTAACTTGGTATCTATGAAGATGACACAACTATTTACTCCTGCCTTTGTCAAATCTGTGGGACTTGTTACTACGTAAACCTGGCAACAACTCTCAAAAAGGATCTCCAATTAGTGGTTAACTGGGGCAAGGAATGGCTTGTAAATCTGAACACATTCAAAGCAAAATTGCTTTTGTTTAATCACCACAGAGAACCTTTTCTTCCTGCTATCATTATGGCTGATGCT